GTTACCCACATCATGTAACAATGCTGAAACAGAGACAAGACATGAGTTTTATATTTGTGTGTATTGTCTCTGCTTTGAGACGGATACTAGATATCAGTATTTCATTGTTTGACGAGAAAATAGCTGTCTTTGATTTGTCTAGACTCATGCAAAAAGATGTGTTCTTTTCTCATTGATATGGCCAAATATCTTGTGTATTGGAGACCTTTTTGGTGGGATCAGCCCTCAGAGACAATACACAATACTTGTCTCAATTTCCAAAGACAATACATGTTTATTGTCTCAGGAAAGTGATACACCACAAGTATTGGCATCTTTGGGTATTCAAATTCTGAGACAATACAAATAAACTGAGACAATACAAATAAACACACAATACTCTCTTGAATTGTCTCAGTTTTTTTATTGGTCTTCTCTGCAGTGTTGGTAGTAGTCAAACAGAAGAGAAGAAAATTCAGCTGAGAATTTTCTTGGGCAAATTAAAATATTCAGAATATTCCTAGCACTCATCCACTTGAAATTTTTTCTTTTCTCCCATGAACGGAGCACTGAAAACCAGAAACTAAAGCTTGCATTGAACTAGGAAAACAGATGTTCCAGAAAATTGCAAAAAATCATTTCAAAGTAATAGGCACCAATTTAGATAGGAAAGAAGCTTATAACCTCTCCATTTTGTACATCAAGGCTGAGAAAAGACATGTTTCTTTCTAAGAGGCATATCATTTCACTTGGGATTGTTGTCAAAGCTTGTGTTACCTCTCTGGAAGCTCATCCCTGCACCCGGGGAGGTTTGAAAACCAATGATGATGAAGGTGGTCGATGGGGGACTGGAGTAGTCACACATAGTACCAACCTAAATCAAAACCCTATACTTAAATTTATATTCTCTATGATTCCATTTGAATCATAGAATACTATAGTAAGTTTATAGTTCACCATTGAAATGTATAGAATATCTCTATTAATTTAATCTTCTTGAAGAGAGAAATAATGAATTGTTCAATTTTTTTTTGCCCCAATTTCTACCTCCTATAACTAGCTGGAGCAAACCATATGCATGGAACCCTCAATGAGCCCATCAAACTTTTGAAAAATTACAACTTTGTTACTACACAAATCTTTTCATAGACATATCCAAACCCCAAATATCATTTCATTTCCATCCCGTGAATTTTGATTGGCAACATGTCTCAAATTGGAAATTTTTCACTCTTTCAACTAAATAAGCCTATACCCATTTCTAAGTTCTCTATAGATATGATTAATAACCCAAATTCCAATGTTAAGTTTGGTGCCCAAGTTTGTATAAATTTATAACACTAACCATACTAGTAAATTGGCCTGAAACAAATATTTTAAGTTAGATTGTGGAAACATGAATTATTTGTAGATCCAAGAGCAAGGTGGATTCTATCATATTCCAAGGGGATTCAATCTTCTTCCCTACTGGACTTCTGGGAACTACACAGTCTCAAGACCCACTTCCATACCATCCATCACACTTCATCTTATTTGTCTTTGTTGTCCTCAAAGAACAACAGCCCACTGATCTCTCTTTGACCCTGTCTCAAAAAAAAATTGACCTCAATCTCTTTGCTTGACTCCTCCTCTTCCTCCTCTAACACTCAATCCTCTACTAACCATGCTTCCTTTTCTTTGGCCTCTTCTTTGTCTCAGTGTTCTGGCAAGGAAGAGGAAAAGGAGGAGGGGGAAGAAGACGGCTCCCAGAACTCAACTTGGCCTTTGAAAGTGTGCTTGATTTGCCCCTGATGGATGGTGATTGGAAAATCCAGGTGGTCGGGCTCAACAACAACAGTTTCAAAGAATTACACACTTGGTATCCATCCCTCCCTATCTTTCCTCTTTGTACAATTTTGGTGTGCTTCATCACTAAAATCTCCCACCATCACAAAAAAATAACCCACCAAAGAAAAACTTGTTCCCTTCATGTGAACATGAGACTTGATCCATTATCAGGGTTGGTGTAAGGTAGGTACCTGCCTGTTTTTTTGGTTCAAATTTTGACACCCGCACCCGTTTCTAGGTACCTGATTTGGAAAGCTGTTACCCACAAATGGGTGCCAGGTACCCCATGAAATCTCTGTTAATTTTTGACTAACCTGTTGCTAATTGTGAACCAATGCGAGTATC